TTTACACGTCCGTTGTCCGATCACCATAACGAGAAAGTAGTCTTTAAGTGAGATTGCTAGCATTTTACTTTCAAGAGTTCTCTTCATGGACGGTATGCAGAACTCTTAGAGTTTCATGAATTATCACATATCTAAGCAATACGACATTGCAAGAAGAATGATAGAATTTAGGCGAGGCGATTATTCTTTTTGTCATTGAATACCTCCACGACAGAATATCTAGATTGCTCACCAAACAATCTTAGAAAACGAGCCGGTCATGTATTTTATTCAGCTGATTGCATGAAATGACAGTAATCAAAATATCCAGTAAAAAAACGTGATTTACAAATTTAGGCGACGTTTATATCACCTCCTCGAGACACGGATTCTACTTGTACAGCGAGGTCTTCAAATTTTTCACCGCCCACTGAACCTGCTTACTGAAAATTTAGTAAGTATAAATACTTAATAAATACTTTAGTACTGTTTACGAAACCTTTCCGCGTCTGTAGTCTCTGAGGTAGGAGAAGGTTGCTACTATGCGTTGGAAATGTTACATGTATTAAAGGTTTATTAGTCGTGTCCGATCAAATTAAAACTGCATGAAAATATCGATAGGTTGTAAGGCGTATGATACAGAATCAAAACGAATATCCGATGTCCAGCGAAGGAATTTTTCTTTTATTAATATTCGTCATAGTGTACTCTTCGCATTTTTCATCTTCCTGACTTATAAATCAGAGTTCATACGTTAAAGAGCTTAACGGCATGGAAAAGTTTACTGATTAAAACCGACGTTGACTCCTGAGCGGGTTCGTGGTTTAAAACTACTTTTCATGTACGTTTTATTTTTTTCGAACGCAAAGAATTTGCGACCTGTGAATGGTGTTATGTAGCAGGCCTTGCTAAAGCATATGTTCTTATGGACAGCGCCATGTAAAGTGGGCTGGCTACAGTATTTAATGAACTTTTATAAAAGATACAGCCCGTCGTTCATTATGTAGAATTGACGCAGTCTGTGTTTTTATGGCAAGCTGCATTAATGTACGTTTGGTAGAGCTGCGTCTCGTTCTCTCATGCCGGCAGATCTTCAAGCGATTGACGGGTTGTACCCTCACCGCAGCATACAAGTTCGAAAGGTCCCTTTAACCACTTTATTTTTTCGATGCCATGGTACGCCTTACAGACCAGAGAAAATAAGATCCTGTGTTCCTCTGTCTGGCATGAACTCCATTGCGTCGATACTAGACCATACTAATAAAGTGGTGGAGTTATGAAAAGCAGGCGTGGTGGACCACCTTAAAACTTAGCCACCTGCCAAACATGGTATTGCCCTTCTCGAACGTTGTGCCTGCTGGCTTGTTGCCCTGGTTACCAAGCTTTGCGCAGACTGTTGGGGAACTGAGGCGGGTTTGGAAAAGTTGGTGATCAAAATCTCTCACTTTCTGACACTTGGAGGTATAGCAGCACCTCGACGGCTGCCAAAGGTAGGAGAAAAGACGATCAAAATACCAGCCCCCACTGGAACTACTACCCGTTCTAAACGGAGTAGGCAGACAGATCGATGTAATTATAGCACGTCAGATAAGGTTCCACGAGAACGATTCCGACAGTACGAGTTTACAGTCTGAAATTTAAATATATATTTTCACTCAGAGGAATAAAGCAAGAATTATTTGATGAGGCCGCAAGGTACCAACTCGACATAGTTGGATTCTCGTTAACAAAGCTCCAAGTGATCTACCTCACTTGGTAGAAGCTATTTCACTCAGGTGTCGATATCACGACTCGCGCTCTTACTGGTGTTGGCGTTCTTGTACAATCCTTCCTGGCTGATTGAATCATTAAATGGAAGACTGTCACCCGACTGAAGTTACAAAAGATTAAAGTTTAACCTCCGTACAGGTATAGCGTCTAATTTGGAGGGCGAATATGAGTCTTTCCTCAAGGAATTGGAGTGTACTCTGTACGAAGTGCTGAATAAAGAGTCCCTCGTACTCAATGGCGATTCAAATGCGCATGTCACAGCAGAATTGAAAGTGAAAAGACGTGATTGGAAAAAAACGGCCCTAGTGACCTCAACAATAACGGCATGAAGTTGCTGCGGTTTTATGCAAACAACGGACTGTCCATTATGAGCAGCTTCGAGCATCGAAGCGTGAGTTAGTATACCTGGTACAAGGAAGCTTTTGCACGGAAGTCGACAATCGATTTGATAATTGTATCCTCTTACTTATGACGCTCTGCGATGGATGTACCAGTTAAGAGGCGCAGAGCTGTCAAGCGATCACTACCTTTTAGTTGGCTCCCTCTGCCGTAAACGATGGAGTACAATGCGATAACCTGGCGGTAGATCAGAGAATCAGATGAAAACATTACCTGTTTCGCATAAGTGAGCATAATTTGCAAACGGTATCGCACAATGGTTTGAACACATCCAAGTGACGACTGTTATAAAAGCCGATTACAAACTCTTCAAGAGCAGCTTACTCGAAAATGCAGCAGAATAGTGCGGTCTGAAACGGGTTTGCTCACAGTCTGAGAATCAGAAACCGATCTGCTGGTGATACTTCAACTGGCTGTCTCCGAGAAGAAGGCTTTATTCAAGAAATGGCTTGCATGTGAAAAGAATTCAATTCGTACGAGGTACGAAGAAGTGCACAAGACGGTAGTGAAAGTAGTTGCGAAATCCAGAGGTAATACCTGGCAGAAGTTCGGCGAGACGTTGAAGTCGAATTTCCAGACGGCAAACATGGTATTCTGACATGCCGTTCACCGGCTCCCAGGTGAAAAGAAGGATAGTCTAAAAGTT